TTTTTTTTTTTTTTTTTTGCTGGGTTTTTTCGTTTGCTGATTTCATAAAACTATTTTGTATTTTTTTCTTTTTTTTAAATTTTTTTATAAGATACAAAACCTGTCGCTATTTGGTTGACTTTCATTTTTGGTTGTTTTCATGGAGAAAAACCTAAGATGCTTTGCACAACTCCTTATCGTTTAGTTTACATTCCTCAGTTTTTATTCGGTTATTCACTCAATTATTTATTCATTTCAGTATATTTTTTTTTAAACGAAAAAGAATTAGAAGAAGAAAAAACAGACAAAAAACAAAAAGAAAAGAAGAAATAGCGGAAGCATAAAAAAAAGAGTAAAATAATGCTAAAAACAATTCAACTGGAATGATCTGAATGTAAATTGATTTGCTGTATAAATATCCATCTTAGAGCTCATTTAATAACACAGTATTCTGTTTGATAAATCCACCGAAATACAACATTTATTTGTTTTTTTTTTTCTTTTCCTTCTCCTCTCAGTTCCTTTTTTCAGTTTCTTTCGCTTTTTCAATTTTAATTTTTTTCTTGACTAAACACTAACTTATGATTACTGTTACAGCTGCTGCTGCTGCTACTGCTACTGCTACTGCTACTGCCGTTGCTGCTACAGCTTTCGTTATACCTTAATTGACACTTTATTTTTTGCAGATACAAATATGAAACTGTATGTGGATGAATCGCCAACAACAACACAGGAATTGTTGAGCGAAAATGAGAAACTTCGACAACGGTAATTATTGTTAAGTTATTTGGTTTGAATCAAAAAACAAAAACGAAAACCTGTTTACAGCTGTATTTATCTATATTTAACTAAAGAAATCTTTTCCCCTGTTGCTGTTTTTCCATTTACTCGGTTTAAAAAAAAAAAAAAAATTTAACACTTCTTTTTATTTTTTTTTACGTCATTCAGAACAAAAGAGTTGAAAACTTTTTTCCCCCATTGTTTTAATTCGTCAAAAATAAGAGAAAGAAAAAAAAAAGTTTTTTATTTTATTTCTGTTCTTAAAGTCGGTAAACTGAGAATGAGAAAAAAAAATTTTTTTCATATTCTGTGTGTTTTTGTCTGTGGTGTTTGGTTTTTTGAAAACAGACAGTTTGATATTGGATTGGTATAAAACTTTTTTGGCTTTATGTAAATCGATGTAAACTGTTGGAAGAATGCATATTGTTTGTTTTTGTTTTCCACCAAAATAGCTGCATTTTTTTTCTTTTTCGCAGATAAATTTATTTTTCAGTGCTGTTGTTTGCTGCTTTTTCTTCTTCCACTGCTGTTGCTGATAATCGACTAGTCGTCAATTTCTGTTTTTTTTTTTTTCTTAAAAAAACCTTTGGAATTCCAATATTTTTATCAGTTTCATCGTCAAAAAATTATCAAAAAAAAAACTAAGAATTTTTATTGCTTTAATAAGAATACAAAATTTTAGGGTAGAATTATAATTATGCTAATTAAATCATCTTTTCTTTTTTTTTTTCTTCTAATATGGTTGGTTTTGCTCATTGATATACCTTCGGATATTGCATCAGTTCCATGGACGTCTGTATGTTCGTGTGTGTGTGTGTATGTGCTCCTTGTTTCCTGTTTTTATTTTTTTGCTTTTGCATTAAGCAATTTAAATTCTGTAATTTATAAAATCAACTAATTATATCTCACATTAATTACGTCGTTTTTTCTTCATCTTTACACTTTTTGTTTGTCTCGTTTTTTACCTTGTTTTATCATTTCCACCGGCTATTTTTAATGCCCTATTTTTGGATGAGAAAATCAACGACAGAGGGACAGAGGAAGGAATCTTGTTTGTTGTATATATATGTATTATTTCTAGAAATATCAGTGTTTTTTTTCTTTTTTTTGAAGGAATAATGTGATACTAATCTATGCGATATCACTGCAAAAGATTGCAAGCAACACTGACGGCGTATCAACTGTCTTTAGTTGCGTTTGTAATTCCCAATATGGCTTGAAATGATGATATGGAGCAAGGAGGAAAAAAAGAGGAATAAATATGAAGAAAAATTCAAAAAACAACGGAAAAAAAAGGAGCAAAACTCAACCTAAAACTTAAAAAGCGAAAAAAAAATAAGACGAAAATGGAACGGAAGGGGAAAATAAAATTTGTTTGTTTTTTTTTACGGCATTTTTTTTTTTCTGTTTTTCTCAAACATTAACTTTAATTGTGAAAAAAAAAGCCTAATTGAAAGCTTCTGATAGCTCTGAAAATAACAGAACAATTGCTGTTGTTATGTTGTCAATTTTTTTTTTGTTGTTTTGTTTTCATTTTCTATCAAGAGAGTAATAATTTTTTTGAACTCAGTTTTGCTGTTTGTCTAATTTGTGATGTTAATACGTAGGCAATTTTTTTTTTGTTTGGTTTGTCACATTTTTTCCACTAAACTTTGACGATGGATTAAGCTTTTTTTTTTCAAAGGAAAAAAGGGCTTAATTTGTTGACTAAGTTGGTTTTTTGGTTTTTTTTTGGCAATGTTAACGACGGTGGTAATGGTAGCGCTTTTTTGCTCTATTGATGTTGTATAAGTTGGCTTAAAAAGTCGCCGAAAAAGTTCTGAGAGCTATTTGAAAAAATGACTGTTCAGAAAAAGAAAAAAAAGAAAAACAGAGAAGAAGAAAATTTCTTTTTGGAGTGGAATCAGATTCTGTAAGTTGAGCAGACAGAATCAATGATCGAAACGGCATTACTCCTCTCCGAGAAGAAAGTAACCATTGATCAAATACAGTAACCATTTTTATTGTATTTGTCAATCGTTTCTTTCTGTTTTAACGACAAAATAACAAATTTCATAAAAATGTCTCCTTTTTTCTCCTCTTCTTTTTTGTCTTCAATTCAATTTTTAATATTGGTAAAGAAAAAGAAAACAGTATTTTTTTGGTTGCTCAAACTGAAATTATCCTTCGGGACAAAATTCTTTAGTTGTCAACTTGTGTTTTGTTTGAAAAAAAAACCACCGGGAACAAAAGTTTGATGTTAAACTTAATAAGTGCCTAAAAGTGAAAAAAAATACTGTTTTTTTATATACAAATCCTTTACTTTGTTGAAGTTATTATCTAGTTTTGTTCACATAATCAAACAGCTTTTTTGTTGTCATCGTCGTTTTTGTCCTTTCTAATCACCACCAGATGATGATTGCATTATAATCTGAAAACGTTTTTTGATTTGTCTGAAACCGATTAAGTGGCTAATGAACTGTTCAGATGTTTCAGAGATTCCCCAAAACAGCTGCCAAAAATGCGTCATCAATTAAGCACAGT